GAAGTTTGTTTTATTGACGGTAGTAAGTTAAAGATTTCAACCTATATATAATGATTATTTGTGTAGATGCAAGAACAAAAAGATCCGATACTCGCATCAGAGTTTATTACATCTGTGTCAGGTTACAATTCGACACATTTCATCCTTTAAATGTTGACATACACTGATGAACATTTGTACAACAAATCAGGCCAGGTGAGAACGGTTTCACAACTGATGAGCATTGCTGAGATCTGGTGAGCTCTGATGAGGTTAAAAAAAACTACAATGTAAGCAAAACACAGTTCCATAATCTTTGCTCATTATTGCACTTTAAACTTATTTACTTTTGGCATTCACAAACTTTACAATTGAAATAATACAAAGACATTTGGATGATTGAACATTTGAACAACATTTCATTAAACTGTAATCAAAAATTGTTTACCAAGAATTCATTTTTAATGTAAATGATAATGAAGCAATAAAGATAGAAATGATTAGAGTTGAAAGTATTTATAATTAAAAGTTTTTATATTTCCGACAGTACTTTAGAAATGAGGCTAATTTAAATACATTATGTATATCAGTTACGTTATTATATAGTTAAAAAGGTTTAGTTGATTTAAGTGGGATTTGAACCTGCAACCTTTTGGGTTACAAAATCCACAGCCATAACCATTAGGCCAATGAGTTAAGGGATTCGAATGTGAAAGTTTAGTAAACTTAAGTTTATGATTAAGTTAAACTTAAAACAATGTTAGCACATATAATTTCATGGAATGATGAAACATGCTATCTTGCATTTACAATTTGGGACTGTTATTTTAAAGTAGCAAACCGTGGCCAAATTCAGTTCAAAATCTTGTGAATAAAGCAAACAAAGCCCTGTCTTGTTAACAGGTTGAAAAATGTATCCCCGTAGTTCTGTTTAAACTTGTGGATGTCCAGAAAAATCTATTATATAGTATGCATCTGAGATATGAGGATGCCAACAAGTGGTTTGTAAGGTTTTGCAAGTATGTCCTGGGTTTAAGTTATAATTGTTCTTACATATGTGGCTGTATAAGGTGAATGTGGAAAACATTATGTTTTTGTTGATTCTTTATTGTGAATGGTTTAATACTGGCTTCGACTTCTTGAATGACCAGAAAACAGATATCTAAAACAGTGCCACTTTATGTTGCATAACCTAGACAAGGTGGGTCGTATATGTCATGGAAGGACAATATTATTTAGATATGGATGTGGTTTTGTTTGGGAAGCACAGGGGGTAGGAAAAACAGAGAAGTTCTTTTTGTTTGAATTTGAAACTCGGTTAAAAATTGTCATGCGCAATCTCTTTCTCGGATATTCGTAATTGTTCATCACTAGAAATCTATACTACCCATCAAAAGTTTAGACTCTCTAGTGTAAATGTAGCTACTTACTATTTGCAAAATATTCCACACTGTTTTAAGGTACTGTTTACACATGAACTGAGGTATTGTAAAACGAATTCGTAACGTTGAAAAGATTATTGTCATGAGTTCAATAAATGATGAAACCCAGTGAAAATTGGCAAATTCTTAACAAAACTTTACACCAAAACGCAGCTGCTCACATGCACGATATTTGCACATGCTTTTCAGCAATTTGATGCATGGTCCTCATGCAATTCATCTGCATAAGGTTTGCAGTTGGTTCCCCCAAGTTAGTGGAGAAATTCATCTTCAATGCTTTAAGTGAGTCTAAACTTTTGATGGGTAGTATATTTTGAGATTGAACAATAGTTCTGCATAGACCTTACCAGCTAAATGTAAAATCAAAAGATGCACGGCGAATAATGACTTGATTAAGGATTGGCGAAGTTACCATCGACATAGACGTGATGGTATTTCACGCCCCAGTCGTTTTTGAAAAGTATGTAAATATAAAAATGCAGAAGAAGAATTTCGCTTTCTTTATAATCTCCAGTATATTATTATTTATGAAATATACCTTTGTACATCAATACTAACTACGTAATTCATCCCTTAGAATTCAGTAATCTCTCCCGCTTATTGTCTTACTCAGATTATGTTAATGATGCTTTAGTTTTTACGCAGGTCTTTTCTATACTATCATTGTTATCTATGTTGCAACTCTTGCTTTTGTTTCTTGTCAATTGACTTTTTATGTAAGTGGGTGTAACGTCTTTCTACTAAATAATTCATTGAATCAACATCTCATCACAGTATTTGAAACTCTCCCTCTATATTGTAACAGATGGTTAGACTATGAGAAGCCGGCGTCTAATGGGTGAAGTACGGTAAATGTGATCGTTCCATTAAGTCATTTCGCTGAAATTCACTTTACAAAGATACGCAGGGAAGTGTGCAGCTCGTTCGGCTCATCAGATGAACAGACAGGAAACGCAGAGGATATGACACGTGACCTGAACCGAGGGATCCGAGTGGCCTGGCTGCAGTATGTCACGCTGTTACCGGAGATCTTACAACAATTTTGTATAGTCATGTAACTTTACATAAGGCACTATCAACGTTCTTACAACAATTTTATATAGTCATGTAACTATACGTAAGGCACCAGCAACGTTCTTACAACAATGTTATATAGTCATGTAACTATAGGTAAGGCACCATCAACGCTCTTACAACAATGTTATACTGTCATGTAACTATACGTAAGGCACCAGCAACGTTCTTACAACAATGTTTTACAGTCATGTAACTATAGGTAAGCCACCAGCAACGTTCTTACAACAATGTTATACTGTCATGTAACTATAGGTAAGCCACCAGCAACGTTCTTACAACAATGTTATATAGTCATGTAACTATACGTAAGGCACCATCAACGTTCTTACAACAATGTTATATAGTCATGTAACTATACGTAAGGCACCATCAACGCTCTTACAACAATGTTATACTGTCATGTAACTATACGTAAGGCACCATCAACGCTCTTACAACAATGTTATACTGTCATGTAACTATACGTAAGGCACCAGCAACGTTCTTACAACAATGTTATACTGTCATGTAACTATACGTAAGGCACCATCAACGTTCTTACAACAATGTTATATAGTCATGTAACTATACGTAAGGCACCATCAACGCTCTTACAACAATGTTATACTGTCATGTAACTATACGTAAGGCACCATCAACGCTCTTACAACAATGTTATACTGTCATGTAACTATACGTAAGGCACCAGCAACGTTCTTACAACAATGTTATACTGTCATGTAACTATACGTAAGGCATCATCAACGTTCTTACAACAATGTTATACTGTCATGTAACTATACGAAATACACAATGCCATTTAGAAAGTGGTCAAATGTAACATATGTTATATTTGGGATTAGTGCCTTTCTTTACAAAGAAAGTGTAATCCCAAATATAACATATGTTACATGTAACTATACGTAAGGCACCATCAACGTTCTTACAACAATGTTATATTACTTAACACTAACATTTGTATAGCGCCGATATCCAGTTCAACTGCTCTTAGGCGCTTTGTTTTTCTCTCGAGCATTGTATGTCCATCACAACGCGGTTCCCATTCACAGCTGGGTGGACTGGGACACATGGTCCCAGTACTTTGCCCAAGTTTTACTGCACCTTGCTGTGTTAGCACGGATTCGTGGGTTGTTTTAAGTGCACAGGGCTGTGTGCTGTACACTAGGGGCTGTGACTCTGAAAGAGTCTGCACACAAAGTTGACTCCAAGGATTTTACACCCTGTCACAGGTGGGCTTAAACCCGGCACCTCCAAGCACGCTGGACCCCCCTCCAAGTCCCCTAAGTAAGGTATCTTCAACGTTCCCAGTACAATGTTATATAGTGTAACTATACGTATATGAGGGTAGTTATGTAAAGGATAAAAGGGCCAAAGGCCGGAGGGATTTTCCCGACTCCAAGGGTTTACATTTGCTACTAAAGCCTCGGAGTCGTGTTCTATTCGACTTATGAACCGTCATAAATGTAAAACACAAATATGTATTAATTGCAATTTGTGCAAATGTTTTGTGTACATGTACTGAGCAGAACAACATTGATTGAACAGCCCGCAAATGATGGAACAGCCGGTGTCAAATGGGACGCGACTGGCATCCAACACCCTGCCTTGCAAGCGCAATGCACCGGGCATGTAGTGAGTGAGTTTAGCTTTACGCCACACACAGCAATATTCCAGCTATATGGCGGAGGTCTGTAAATAATCGAGTCTGGACCAGACAATCCAATGATCTTACCGGGTATGTAGATATTGCGCTTTGATAACGACCTTATTGTCTGTTACAGAGGGTGGTGTCACCGGGCGTGTAGATATTGTCCTTTGATAATGACCTTATATATTGTCTGTTACAGAGGGTGGTGTCACCGGGCGTTTAGATATTGTCCTTTGATAATGACCTTATATATTGTCTGTTACAGAGGGTGGTGTCACCGGGCGTGTAGATATTGTCCTTTGATAATGACCTTATATATTGTCTGTTACAGAGGGTGGTGTCACCGGGCGTGTAGATATTGTCCTTTGATAATGACCTTATATATTGTCTGTTACAGAGGGTGGTGTCACCGGGCGTGTAGATATTGTCCTTTGATAATGACCTTTATATATTGTCTGTTACAGAGGGTGGTGTCACCGGGCATGTAGATATTGTCCTTTGATAATGACCTTATATATTGTCTGTTACAGAGGGTGGTGTCACCGGGCATGTAGATATTGTCCTTTGATAATGACCTATATTGTCTGTTACAGAGGGTGGTGTCACCGGGCGTGTAGATATTGTCCTTTGATAATGACCTTATATATTGTCTGTTACAGAGGGTGGTGTCACCGGGCGTGTAGATATTGTCCTTTGATAATGACCTATATTGTCTGTTACAGAGGGTGGTGTCACCGGGCGTGTAGATATTGTCCTTTGATAATGACCTTATATATTGTCTGTTACAGAGGGTGGTGTCACCGGGCGTGTAGATATTGTCCTTTGATAATGACCTTATATATTGTCTGTTACAGAGGGTGGTGCCAGCGGACTCTGTGCACGTCTGTGAGAGAACGTGAATGTATCTTCAGAACATGGCTGGAGTAAGTTTCTGGTCATGGGTCGCATAATGTATATCTGACGTCATAAAGAAAATAACTTGAATCCAAATGTAAATGGTCGTTTGGCTGTTGTGTTGTGAATCGCAAACAATGTTATATATGTGCTTCATAAATGAATGTTCCCAAAATAAGTATTGTTGCATGTTTTTTAAGACTATGATGTCATCCAAATTATGATAAAAAAGATTAATGATCTATACTCTTAACAAGATAAATGTGACTGACAGAGAAGCGACCACTTATCAAGTCTCCGTGTTTCCAGGTGCTGTCTCTACAGGATTGTATGGAGGACGGTTGTAAAGACAGAACGGTTCTGCTGCACAGGCTTCCGGGGCAGAGGCTGTGACGAACGTAGGTTCACTAACGGGTAGGAGGTTGGAGTGGAGGGGGCAGGCTTCCGGGGCAGACGCTGTGACGAACGTAGGTTCACTAACGGGTAGGAGGTTGGAGTGGAGGGGGCAGGCTTCCGGGGTAGTGACTGTGATCAACGTAGGTTCACTAACGGGGAGGAGGTTGGAGTGGAGGGGCAGGCTTAAGGGGTAGACGCTGTGATCAACGTAGGTTCACTAACGGGTAGGAGGTGGGAGTGGAGGGGGCAGGCTTCCGGGGCAGACGCTGTGATCAACGTAGGTTCACTAACGGGTAGGAGGTGGGAGTGGAGGGGGCAGGCTTCCGGGGCAGACGCTGTGATAAACGTAGGTTCACTAACGGGTAGGAGATGGGAACGGAGGGGGCAGGCTTCCGGGGCAGACGCTGTGATCAACGTAGGTTCACTAACGGGTAGGAGATGGGAGTGGAGGGGGCAGGCTTCCGGGGCAGTGACTGTGATTAACGTAGGTTCACTAACGGGTAGGAAGTTGGAGTGGAGGGGGTAGGCTTCCGGGGCAGACGCTGTGATCAACGTAGGTTCACTAACGGGGAGGAGGTTGGAGTGGAGGGGGCAGGCTTCCGGGGCAGTGACTGTGATCAGTTCAGGTTCACTAACGGGCAGGAGGTGGAAGCCGAGGGGGCATGCTTCCGGGGCAGTGACTGTGATCAGTTTAGGTTCACTAACGGGTAGGAGGTGGGAGCGGAGGTGGCAGGCTTCCGGGGCAGTGATTTTGATGAACGTAGGTTCACTAACGGGTAGGAGGTGGAAGCGGAGGGGGCAGGCTTTCGGGACAGTGATTGTGATGAACGTAGGTTCACTAACGGGTAGGAGGTGGGAGCGGAGGGGGCAGGCTTCCGGGGTAGTGACTGTAATGAACGTAGGTTCACTAACGGGTAGGAGGTGGGAGTGGAGGGGACAGGCTTCCGGGGCAGTGATTGTGATGAACGTAGGTTCACTAACGGGCTGGAGGTGGGAGTGGAGGGGACAAGTGCCCGGGGCAGTGACTGTAACCAACGTAGGTTCACTAACGGGTAGGACGCTGGATTCGAGGGGGCAGGCTTCCGGGGCAGTGACTGTGATTAACGTAGGTTCACTAGCAAGTAGGGGGTAGGAAAGGAGGGGGCAGGCTTCCGGGGCAGTGACTGTGATCAACGTAGGTTCACTAACGGGTAGGAGGTGGGAGTCGAGGGGGCAGGTCTCCGGAGCAGTGACTGTGATCAACGTAGGTTCACTAACGGGTAGTACGTGGGAGTGGAGGGGGCAGGGTTCCGGGGCAGTGACTGTGATTAACGTAGGTTCACTAACGGGTAGGTGGAAGTGGAGGGGGCATGCTTCCGGGGCAGTGACCGTGATGAACGTAGGTTCACTAACGGGTAGGAGGTGAGAATGGAGGGGGCAGGTCTCCGGGGTAGTCGCTGTGATCAACCAAGAGTCACTAACGGGTAGGAGGTGGGAGTGGAGGGGGCAGTCTTCCGGGGCAGTGACTGTGATTAACGTAGGTTCATCAAGGGGAGGAGGTTGGAGTGGAGGGGGCAGGCTTCCGGGATAGTGACTGTGATCAACGTAGGTTCATCAAGGGGAGGAGGTTAGAGTGGAGGGGACAGGCTTCCGGGGCAGTGACTGTGATCAGTTTAGGTTCACTAACGGGTAGGAGGTAGGAGTGGAGGGGGCAGGCTTCCGTGGCAGTGACTGTGATCACTTTAGGTTTACTAACGGGTAGGAGGTCGGAGCGGAGGGGGCAGGCTTCCGGGGCAGTGACTGTGATCAGTTTAGGTTAACTAACGGGTAGGAGGTGGGAGTGGAGGGGGCAAGCATCCGGGGCAGTGATTGTGATGAACGTAGGTTCACTAACGGGTAGGAGGTGGGAACGGAGGGGGCAGGCTTCCGGGGCAGTGATTGTGATGAACGTGGGGTTCACTAACGGGGTGGAGGTGGGATTGGAGGGGCAGGCTTCCGGGGTAGGGATTGTGATCAACGTAGGTTCACTAACAGGTAGGAGGTGGGAGGGAGGGGCAGGCTTCCGGGGCAGTGATTGTGATGAACGTAGGTTCACTAACGGGTAGGAGGTGTTAGGGGAGGGGGCAGGCTTCCGGGACAGGGATTGTGATCAACGTATGTTCACTAACGGGTAGGAGGTGGGAGTTGGGGGGGCAGGCTTCCGGGGCAGTGATTGTGATGAACGTAGCTTCACTAACGGGGTGGAGGTGGGAGGGGAGGATACAGGCTTCCGGGGCAGTGATTGTTATGAACGTAGGTTCACTAACGGGTAGGAGGTGGGAGCGGAGGGGGCAGGCTTCCGGGGCAGTGATTTTGATGAACATAGGTTCAGTAACGGGTAGGAGGTGGGAGTGGAGGGGGCAGGTCTCCCGGGGCAGTCGCTGTGAGGAACGTTGGTTCACTAACTGGGAGGAGGTTGGAGTGGAGGGGGCAGGCTTCCGGGGCAGTGATTGTGATGAACGTAGGTTCACTAACGGGTAGGAGGTTGGAGTGGAGGGGGCAGACTTCCGGGGCAGTGATTGTGATGAAAGTAGGTTCACTAACGGGTAGGAGGTAGGAGCGGAGGGGGCAGGTCTCCGTGGCTGTGACTGTGATCAACGTAGGTTCACTAAAGGGTAGGAGGTGGGAGGGGAGGGAGCAGGTCTATGGGGCAGTGACTGTGATGAACGTAGGTTCACTAACGGGTAGGAGGTAGGAGCGAAGGGGGCAGGTCTCCGTGGCTGTGACTGTGATTAACGTAGGTTCACTAACGGGTAGGAGGTGAGAGTGGAAGGGGCATGCTTCCGGGACAGTGACTGTGATCAACGTAGGTTCACTAACGGGTAGGAGGTGCGAGCGGAGAGGACGGGCTTCCAGGGCAGTGAGTGTGATGAAGGTAGGTTCATTAACGGGTAGGAGGTTCGAGCGGAGGGGGCAGGTCTCCGGGGCAGTCGCCTTGATCAACCAAGATTCACTAACGGGTAGGAGGTGGGAGTGGAGGGGGCAGGTTTCCGAGGTAGTGACTGTGATCAACGTAGGTTCACTAACGGGTAGGAGGTGGGAGTGGATGGGATAGGCTTTCGGGGCAGTGTCTGTGATGAACGTAGCTTCACTAACGGTTAGGAGGTTGGAGCGAAGGGGGCAGGTCTCTGGGGCAGTCGCTGTGATCAACCAAGATTCACTAACGGGGAGGTCATCACTGTCTGTGATGAACGTAGGTTCACTAACGGTTAGGAGGTTGGTGCGGATAGGGCAGGTCTCCAGAGGAGTGACTGTGATCAACGTAGGTTCACTAACGGGTTGGAGGTGGGATTGGAGGGGGCAGGCTTCCGGGACAGTGACTGTGACGAACGTAGGTTCACTAACGGGTAGGAGCTGGGAATGCAGGGGGCGGGCTTTAGGGGCAGTGACTGTGATGAACGTAGGTTCACTAACGGGTAGGAGGTGGAAGTGGAGGGGGCAGGTCTCCGGGTAAGTCGCTGTGATCAACCAAAATTCACTAACGGGTAGGGGGTGGGAGTGGAGGGGGCCGGTCTCCGGAGCAGTGCCTGTGTTCAACGTAGGTTCACTAAAGGGTAGGAGGTGGGAGTGGAGGGGCCAGGATTCCGGGGTAGTGACTGTGATGAACGTCAGTTCACTAAGGGGTGGGAGGTGGGAGTGGAGAGGGCCGGTCTCCGTGGCTGTGACTGTGATCAACGTAGGTTCACTAACGGGTAGGAGGTGGGAGCAGAGAGGGCCGGTCTCCGTGGCTGTGACTGTGATCAACGTAGGTTCACTAATGGGTAGGAGGTGGGAGTGGAGAGGGCAGGTCTCCGGGGCAGTCGCTGTGGTCAACGTAGGTTCACTAACGGGTAGGAGGTGGGAGCGGAGGGGCAGGCTTCCGGGGTAGTGACTGTGATCAACGTAGGTTCACTAACGGGTATTAGTCGGGAGTGGAGAGGGCAGGTCTCCGTGGCTGTGACTGTGAGGAACGTAGGTTCACTAACTGGGAGGAGGTTGGAGTGGAGGGGCAGGCTTCCGTGGCTGTGACTGTGATCAACGTAGGTTCACTAAAGGGTATTAGATGGGAGGGGAGGGGGCAGGTCTATGGGGCAGTGACTGTGATCAACGAAGGTTCACAGACGGGTAGGAGGTGGGAGTGGAGAGGTCCGGTCTCCGTGACTCTGACTGTGATCAACGTATGTTCACTCACGGGTAAGAAGTGGGAGCGCAGGGGGCGGGTCTCCGGGGCAGTGACTGTGATCAACGTAGGTTCACTAACGGGTGGAGCGGGCAGGTCTCCGGGGCAGTGACTGTGATCAACGTAGGTTCACTGACGGGTAGGAGGTGGGAGTGGAGGGGGCAGGTCTCCGGGGCAGTGACTGTGATCAACGTAGATTCACTAACGGGTAGGAGGTGGGAGTGGAGGTGGCAGGCTTCCGGGGCAGTGACTGTGACGAACGTAGGTTCACTAACGGGTAGGAGGTGGGAGTGGAAGGGGCATGCTTCCAGGGCAGTCACTGTGACGAACGTAGGTTCACTAACGGTTAGGAGCTGGGAGTTGAGGGGGCAGGCATCCTTTGCAGTGACTGTGATCAACGTAGGTTCACTGACGGGTAGGAGGTGGGAGTGGAGGGGGCAGGTCTCCGGGGCAGTGACTGTGATCAACGTAGGTTCACTAACGGGTAGGTGGGAGTGGAAGGGGCATGCTTCCGGGACAGTGACTGTGATCAACGTAGGTTCACTAACGGGTAGGAGGTGCGAGCGGAGAGGGCGGGCTTCCGGGGCAGTGATTGTGATGAAGGTAGGTTCATTAACGGGTAGGAGGTTCGAGCGGAGGGGGCAGGTCTCCGGGGCAGTCGCCGTGATCAACCAAGATTCACTAACGGGTAGGAGGTGGGAGTGGAGGGGGCAGGCTTCCGAGGTAGTGACTGTGATCAACGTAGGTTCACTAACGGGTAGGAGGTGGGAGTGGATGGGATAAGCTTCCGGGGCAGTGACTGTGATGAACGTAGGTTCACTAACGGTTAGGAGGTTGGAGCGGAGGGGGCAGATCTCGGGGCAGTCGCTGTGATCAACCAAGATTCACTACCGAGGAGGAGGTGGGAGAGCAGGTGGCAGGCTTCCGGGGCACTGACTGTGACGAACGTAGGTTCACTAACGGGTAGGAGCTGGGAATGCAGGGGGTGGGCTTTAGGGGCAGTGACTGTGATGAACGTAGGTTCACTAACGGGTAGGAGGTGGGAGTGGAGGGGTCAGGTCTCCGAAGCAGTGCCTGTGTTCAACGTAGGTTCACTAAAGGGTAGGAGGTGGGAGTGGAGGGGGCAGGATTCCGGGGTAGTGACTGTGATGAACGTCAGTTCACTAAGGGGTGGGAGGTGGGAGAGAAGAGGGCCGGTCTCCGTGGCTGTGACTGTGATCAATGTAGGTTCACTAACGGGTAAGAGGTGGGAGTGGATAGGGCCGGTCTCCGTGGCTGTGACTGCGATCAACGTAGGTTCACTAAAGGTTAAGATGTGGGAGCGGAGGGGGTGGGTCTCTGTGGCTGTGACTGTGATCAACATATGTTCACTCACGGGTAAGAGGTGGGAGCAGAGGGGGCAGGCTTCCGGTGCAGTGACTGTGATCAAAGAAGGTTCACTAACGGGTAGGAGGTGGGAGCGCAGGGGGCGGGTCTCGTTGGCAGTGACTGTAATCAACGTAGGTTCACTAACGGGTGGAGGGGGCAGGTCTCCGGGGCAGTGACTGTGATCAACGTAGGTTCACTAACGGGTAGGAGGTGGGAGTGGAGGTGGGAGTGGAGGTGCCAGGCTTCCATGACAGTGACTGTGACGAACGTATGTTCACTAACGGGTAGGAGCTGGGGTAGTGGAGGGGGCAGGCATCCTTTGCAGTCACTATGAATCAACGTAGGTTCACTAACGGGTAGGAGGTGGGAGTGGATGGGGCATGTCTCTAGAGCAGTGACTGTGATCAACGTAGGTTCACTAACGGGTAGGAGGTGGGATTGGAGGTGGCAGGCTTCCGGGGCAGTGACTGTGATCAACGAAGGTTCACTTACGGGTAGGAGGTGGGAGAGGAGAGGGTTCAGGCTTCCGGGGCAGTGGTTGTGATCAACATAGGTTCACTGTCGGGTAGGAGGCTGGAGTGGAAGGGGCATGCTTCCGGGACAGTGACTGTGATCAACGTAGGTTCACTAACGGGTAGGAGGTGGGAGTGGATGGGGCATGTCTCTAGAGGAGTGACTGTGATCAACGTAGGTTCACTAACGGGTAGGAGGTGGGATTGGAGGTGGCAGGCTTCCGGGGCAGTGACTGTGACGAACGTAGGTTCACTAACGGGAAGGAGCTGGGAATGCAGGGGACGGGCTTTAGGGACAGTGACTGTGATGAACGTAGGTTCACTAACGGGTAGGAGGTGGGAGTGGAGGGGGCAGGTCTCCGTGTAAGTCGCTGTGATCAACCAAGATTCACTTACGGGTAGGAGGTGGGAGTGGAGGGGGCAGGTCTCCGTGTAAGTCGCTGTGATCAACCAAGATTCTTTATCTCGAAGAGGTGGGAGTGGAGGGGGCAGGCTTCCGTGGCAATGACTGTGATCAACGTAGGTTCACAGACGGGTAGGAGGTGGGAGCGGAGGGGACAGGATTCCGGGGCAGTGATTGTGATCAACGTAGGTTCACTGTTGGGTAGGAGGCTGGAGTGGAGGGGGCAGGCTTCCGGGGCAGTGACTCTGACGAACGTAGGTTCACTAACGGGTAGGAGGTGGGAGTGGAAGGGGCATGCTTCCAGGGCAGTGACTGTGACGAACGTAGGTTCACTAACGGTTAGGAGCTGGGAGTTGAGGGGGCAGGCATCCTTTGCAGTCACTGTGAATCAACGTAGGTTCACTAACGGGTTGGAGGTAGGAGCGGAGTGGGCAGGTCTCCGTGGCTGTGACTGTGTTCAACGTAGGTTCACTAAAGGGAAGGAGGTGGGAGGGGAGGGGGCAGGTCTATGGGGCAGTGACTGTGATCAACGTAGGTTCAGTAACGGGTAGGAGGTAGGAGTGGAGGGGACAGGCTTCCGGGGCAGTGATTGTGATCAAGGTAGGTTCACTGACGGGTAGGAGGTTGGAGTTGAGGGGGCAGGCTTCCGGGCAGTGACTGTGATTAACGTAGGTTCACTAACGGGTAGGTGGGAGTGGAAGGGGCATGCTTCCGGGACAGTGACTGTGATCAACGTAGGTTCACTAACGGGTAGGAGGTGCGAGCGGAGAGGGCGGGCTTCCGGGGCAGTGTTTGTGATGAACGTAGGTTCATTAACGGGTAGGAGGTTCGAGCGGAGGGGGCAGGTCTCCGGGGCAGTCGCCGTGATCAACCAAGATTCACTAACGGGTAGGAGGTGGGAGTGGAGGGGGCAGGCTTCCGAGGTAGTGACTGTGATCAACGTAGGTTCACTAACGGGTCGGAGGTGGGAGTGGATGGGATAAGCTTCCGGGGCAGTGACTGTGATGAACGTAGCTTCACTAACGGTTAGGAGGTTGGAGCGGAGGGGGCTGGTCTCCGGGCAGTCGCTGTGATCAACCAAGATTCACTAACGGGTAGGAGGTGGGATTGGAGGTGGCAGACTTCCGGGGCAGTGACTGTGACGAACGTAGGTTCACTAACGGGTAGGAGCTGGGAATGCAGGGGGCGGGCTTTAGGGGCAGTGACTGTGATGAACGTAGGTTCACTAACGGGTAGGAGGTGGGAGTGGAGGGGGCAGGTCTCCGGGTAAGTCGCTGTGATCAACCAAGATTCACTAACGGGTAGGGGTTGGGAGTGGAGGGGGCTGGTCTCCGAAGCAGTGCCTGTGTTCAACGTAGGTTCACTAAATGGTAGGAGGTGGGAGTGGAGGGGGCAGGATTCCGGGGTAGTGACTGTGATGAACGTAGGTTCACTAACGGGTAAGAGGTGGGAGTGGATAGGGCCGGTCTCCGTGGCTGTGACTCCGATCAACGTAGGTTCACTAAAGGTTAAGATGTGGGAGCGGAGGGGGCAGGTCTCCAGGGTAGTGACTGTGATCAAAGAAGGTTCACTAACGGGTAGGAGGTGGGAGCGCAGGGGGCCGGTCTCCGTGGCAGTGACTGTGATGAACGTAGGTTCACTAACGGGTGGAGGGGGCAGGTCTCCGGGGCAGTGACTGTGATCAACGTAAGTTCACTAATGGGTAGCAGGTGGGAGTGGAGGTGGGAGTGGAGGTGGCAGGCTTCCGGGGCAGTGACTGTGACGAACGTAGGTTCACTAACGGTTAGGAGCTGGGAGTGGAGGGGGCAGGCATCCTTTGCAGTCACTGTGAATCAACGTTGGTTCACTAACGGGTAGGAGGTGGGAGCGTAGGGGGCAGGTCTCCGTGGCTGTGACTGTGATCAACGTAGGTTCACTAGCGGGAAGGAGGTAGGAGTGGAGGGGGCAGGCTTCCGGGGCAGTGACTGTGATTAACGTAGGTTCACTAACGGGTAGGTGGGAGTGGAAGGGCATGCTTCCGGGACAGTGACTGTGATCAACGTAGGTTCACTAACGGGTAGGAGGTGGGAGTGGATGGGGCAGGTCTCTAGAGCAGTGACTGTGATCAACGTAGGTTCACTAACGGGTAGGAGGTGGGATTGGAGGTGTCAGGCTTCCGGGGCAGTGACTGTGACGAACGTAGGTTCACTAACGGGAAGGAGCTGGGAATGCAGGGGACGGGCTTTAGGGGCTGTGACTGTGATGAACGTAGGTTCACTAACGGGTAGGAGGTGGGAGCGGATGGGGCATGTCTCCGTGGCTGTGACTGTGATCAACGTAGGTTCACTAGCGGGAAGGAGGTAGGAGTGGAGGGGGCAGGCTTCCGGGGCAGTGACTGTGATTAACGTAGGTTCACTAACGGGTAGGTGGGAGTGGAAGGGCATGCTTCCGGGACAGTGACTGTGATCAACGTAGGTTCACTAACGGGTAGGAGGTGGGAGTGGATGGGGCAGGTCTCTAGAGCAGTGACTGTGATCAACGTAGGTTCACTAACGGGTAGGAGGTGGGATTGGAGGTGGCAGGCTTCCGGGGCAGTGACTGTGACGAACGTAGGTTCACTAACGGGAAGGAGCTGGGAATGCAGGGGACGGGCTTTAGGGGCTGTGACTGTGATCAACGTAGGTTCACTAACGGGTAGGAGGTGGGAGCGGAGAGGGCCGGTCTCCGTGGCTGTGACTGTGATCAACGTAGGTTCACTAACGGGTAAGAGGTGGGAGTGGATAGGGCCGGTCTCCGTGGCTGTGACTGCGATCAACGTAGGTTCACTAAAGGTTAAGATGTGGGAGCGGAGGGGATAGGTCTCCGGGGCAGTGACTGTGATCAACGTAGGTTCACTAACGGGTAGGAGGTAGGAGTGGAGGGGGCGGGATTGCGGCGCTGTGACTGTGATCAACGTAGGATCACTAACGGGTAGGAGGTGGGAGCGGAGGGGCAGGCTTCCGGGGCAGTGAGTGTTATCAAAGAAGGTTCACTAAAGGGTAGGAGGTGGGAGCGGAGGGGGCAGGTCTCGGTGGCTGTGACTGTGATCAACGTGGGTTCACTAACGGGTGGAGGGGGCAGGTCTCCGGGGCAGTGACTATGATCAACGTAGGTTCACTAACGGGTAGGAGGTGGTAGTGCAGGGGGCAGGTCTCCGGGGGAATGACTGTGATCAACGTAGGTTCACTAACGGGTAGGAGGTTGGAGTGGAGGGGTCAGGCTTCCGGGGCAGTGACTGTGAGCAAAGAAGGTTCACTAAAGGGTAGGAGGTGGGAGCGGAGGGGGCAGGTCTCGGTGGCTGTGGCTGTGATCAACATGGGTTCAATAACCCGGGGAGGGGGCTGGAGTGGAGATGGCAGGCTTCCTAAGCAGTGACTGTGATCAACGTAGGTTCACTAACGGGTTGGGAGGTGGGAGCGGAGGGGCGGGACTGCGGGTCTGTGACTGTGATCAACGTGGGTTCAATAACCGGGGGTGGGGGTGGGGGTGGAGGGGAGCTGGAGCAGGAGATGCCAGGCTTCCTGGGCAGTGACTGTGATCAACGTAGGTTCACTAACGGGTAGGAGGTGGGAGTGGAGGGGCGGGACTGCGGGGGCTGTGACTGTGATCAACGTGGGGTTCACTAACGGGTAGGAGGAGGGAGCGGAGGGGCGGGTCTCCGTGGCTGTCACTGTGATCAACGTGGGTTCAATAACCGGGGTGGGGAAGGGGAGCTGGAGGGGGATGGCAGGCTTCCTGGGCAGTGACTGTGATCAACGTAGGTTCACTAACGGTTAGGAGGGAGGAGTGGAGGGGGAGGTCTCCGGGGCAGTCGCTGTGATCAACTAAGATTCACTAACGGGTAGGTGTTGGGAGTGGAGGGGGCAGGCTTCCGGGGTAGTGACTGTGATCAGCGTAAGTTCACTCACGGGTAGGTGGTGAGGGTGGGGGCATGGTTTCAAAATAATTGTAAATAATACGTGTTCCCGGAAATACTTGGAAAGATTAGTGGCAGTTAAATTAAAATCTAAAATAAATATCTCTGAGGCTGAGTATTCTTCGATGTATTTCTTTTGATATCGTTGCTCTTACTATAAGAAGCGGTAACCGAAAATCATACCCATGTACTCTCGCCAAGTAGCCACCCGTTCCTATTCTTTCTCCTCCTGTATGTTTTAATGATCGGTCCCTAATTTTAAGTTCAACTGGGCAGGACTAGTGTAAGAAATCATTTTGAACGGGTATAGGGAACCCGAGGAGGGCTTTTTGACGTAGTGCTTAAAGCGAAGGCTCGTCAGAACTCGAGCCTGTGTTTGTTTACTTTCAAGGGAAAATGT